GCCGGGGCGGATTGGGTTGTTGTACGTTATATATCCCTACTTCCAAAATTTTTTATTCGATTTTTTAAAGCGCTTTCAGGAGACAGAACCCTTCCACTCCACGGAAGCTCTTCAATTATTTATTACTCAGAGGCATTTTGGCAATTAATACCCGACGATTAAAGTTTCTATTTAACACAATCTTTTTATGTCTCTCTTTTTTTCCTCACTGACCAAAGTTTGAAATTAAAACAGTAAACTGATCCTAACGGGAGGAAGTGCATGGCTTATTACCTCGAATATCCCCCAAAAAGTGATCGCGAGGTAGACTACGAGTAGTCCTCATTTTTCCTCAGGAAGAGTTGAGCGAGCGAAACGCGAGCGCATGTGAAAATCACCCCACGCGAGAAAGGCGATACGCGGAAGGGAGAGAGAACGACCGGGGACAAGGCAGTTTGAAAAGTCAAAAATTTGCCCAGTCCTTGAATGAGACGAGGTGAAAATAGGACTGTTTAGCCTCCTCTCAGGATATTGAAATAGCTAAAAGTGTAAAACTTACATTATACTGTTAGTTATCGAAAAAAAATGTTATGTTAGTATTTCTTGCCATTACCAGGAGCCCATCAAATGGAGCCTCCATCTCCATTAATTTCTTGAGTCAACCCTTTCCCGAGTAGATTTATAAATAGAACGGCTTGTTTCCCGCGAAAAGTGTCATATTTCCGTGAGTCTCGTATGCCACCGTGAAATTATTAAGTTGGATGAAGTCGAACTCAGAAGCCCGTCTTTCGACCGTTTTCCTTTTCTACTATACGTCCATTTTTACAGTTTTACAGCCGCTGGGATCTGGGATGAAATAAAAGTTAATGAATTACCCGACTGAGACTGAGCATGAAGCGATGGGACAACGGCAGCGAACTGAGGATCACGGAAAGGTTCTTTGCGAGTGTTTGTTTTTGTTTTTTTTTTTGCCGTCATACATCCCACATTTAAGCATGCACCTTGAAAAGAGTCGACGATTAAGCGTTCTGTGGACGATTTGAAACTCTTCGATGATCAGCGCCGAAAAAGTGCCAGGATCATTTGATTTTTGTTATCGCCGTGGAGTGGAATTCGCCAGTTAAGCACCGCGTGCAAAAGCGATGACCTAAGTAGCAACCAAGGAGGAATGCTTCAGAAAAATTGCAGTCTTCCTTTACAACTGAATTGTATCACCATGAGAGTTGCCTGATAAAACTGGCACTTGAAAATGTGGAACAGAAGACAACAGTTGCTCAACTGTGAAGCTAACTCAAAAGTAATTTGCTAACGGTGGAATTTGTGACATCGCTCTCCAGTCCAAAGACCCACTTATCTCAAGAAAAACAAAATGGATTGTATCTGCGCCCAAAGAAATATGACTGACTAACAGAAGAATTCTCAGCAATTAATGTAGAAGTTTAGGCCAATTCTTTCCTTCGAATTCGCATGTGTAGATCACTGTTTTGCGAGAAAACAATGGCTGGGCTCGGCGTTACAAAACATAGCAGGGAATCATCACACTAACTGACGGACAAAACAACCACAGTATAGTATTTATTCAGACAAACGCATTTCGGAGAAAAACTTGAAAAACTAGAAATTTGATTAATATTGAGTCATTTAGCCGAAATAAGAACCTTAACGCTCAAAAAAATTGGCTAAAGAAAACGAATCCTGTCAGAACTACAGACTGCAGGTAGTAGTTAATCATTACGCATGTAACAGACCAGCTTCACGGCCTCTTATAACTTAATGTGAGACAAGCAACCAAAATTAAGATTAACATAGTCAGAGTTTAAAACTCTCCACAGTATAATCTACCCGCTAGAAAGAAAAGAAAGAAAATCTCTGAGGGATGAAAACGCTAATGTCACGTTTCACTAGCTTATGATTTTGTTTGGCCTGTCAGCACCGGATTTCCAGCTGTTTCATGAAGTACAATAGCAGTGTCATTTAGTCGTTGTGATTGGCTCTTCCCACCGTCGGCGCGCGAAATCTCCCCTGGGAACCGTTCTAATTATAAATCTACTCGGGAAAGGGTTGACTCCAAGGGATTGTATGGGAGATGGAGGCTCCATTTGATGGGCTCCTGCCATTACCGAACACTTGACCATCAAAATTTCACCGTGGGAGTAGCCCTCGGACCCCTTCTTAGTATGATCACCTTTTTTGCCCCCTCGGATTGCAAGTTCTGCTTCCTGGTCCCTGGCATAACCCACAGCCAGGAGACTAAGAACCACGATAAGCAAGAGGCTTTTCATCTTTCACTCTTCTTTGCCAACAGAATGGTATTAATAGAAACTGAAAACCAAAATAAAATTGCCATATTAAAATCTGCAAAGCTGGTCGCACTTTGTGAAAATTATAATTTGCAAGACATCAACCAACGTTTTCAAAGTTTTAAGGTAGCTGTGTCTTGATTACGTCTCATGGAAACCAAGAATCAAGGATTTTTACCAAGGAAAAAGAACAACCAATGCATTGATCGCGAACGGGTCAAAACGTTCTAAAATGTGTTTTTCACAGGACAATGCCTTAGCAAAATTAATCTTAATTCTTAACTGAAGACAAAGGCAAGCCTATTAGTAGAATTCAGTGTTGGGAGCTAAAAATATCATCGTTCACGTAAGAAAAACTAAACATTATACACCTTTTAAAAATAATTTAACAGCCTTAAGAACAATCGACCATACTTACCAAAGGTGGTAAATATCGAGCAGAAAAATCAAGTAAAATTAGTTCATTGACGTGGTCACGAAATTATATTTCTTTCTTTTTTATATTCTCAGAGGAAAAACGACGATGAAGTTTTACGAAACCTTGGCCATTTAGTTTTAGGGTGGCGACAAATAACTATATTAAATCAAGAACAGATGAAACCTCAAATAGTTCTTAAAAATCTAGTATACCGATTCACTTACCGGATGAGTTAACTTTGGAGGAGATACCACAAGACTATGACTTGTTAAAGTACCTATTTTCTTGCCTATACTTATATGGTCATTTAACAAATCTAATAACCTCTATTCAAGAATTTTGCTAAGAAACGTTTATACTTCAGTAACAATGTACTTGAAGGATCAATTTTATACAGAAACCAATTACTGTCGAAAATTCGTCCAAAGACCTGATTAATCCTTGATTTAGTTTTAGCCAAACTGAAGAGGTTTGAATAAACGAAACTTGTCTTAAGGCTAAGATAAAGGCTAGTGCGTGAAAGACGATTCGTAAAACTCAGTACGATAATTATGAGGATTATTTCCAAGTCTTTCGAGGTTTCAGCAAGAAAAGTTACCCAGAGAATCCTTGATTAATTACACCTAATTAATCTTTGATGAATTCTCATAATCGAAGAAGCCTCAAAAATATGATTTTAATTCCGTTAAGTAAGAAACAACCGTCTGATCTGGAAATCGGACAAGAAGTCGTCTTTCTAATATAGCTTGTTTCTCCATAAAAAGAAAAAAAAAAGATCAGAATTTGTTATAGACGAGACATTTCCCTTCAAAAAATGAGGCAAAACAAGTAGAAGTCAGAAAGCCGTGGATATCAAAAATTAACATTTAAATTACCACTAACATTTCATTA